ACCAAAATGATGCCTGGTGCTTTACAAAAAAAAAAAAAAAAAAAAAAAAAAAAGACAGTGTACATGTTAAATAAACGGTTCAAGTCTAATAGCCTAAAAACCCGCCAAAATAAAGTTTACGAACAGGCGTGGTTTTAAAATATATTTTATGATTTTTTAACTAATAGAGAAAGTAAATTACGTTCCTTAGTTTTCAATTTTGGAACTGATTTGTGGATATTTAAGAAATCTGGTTCATCTTAGGACCAGAAGGGTCTTGGCATTCACAAAGAATATGTCGACTGGTTCTGGAAGAAGAAAAAGAAATGAGAAAACAAAAGGTAGACGTCGGCCAGTTCTGGTTTCTGAAAAAAAAAAAAGGAAAACTAAAAGCAGCCGACGACGATGAAAAGAAAGAAGCTGAAAAGAAAAGAAAAGAAAAGGAAAAGAAAAAATAAAGTCAGAAAGGGGGAAAATTTTATGTTATTTCATTTAAATGTATTTCTTTCAAATTTCACACGGGAATAAAAGTCTTGCGTCTTTCATAATACTCATAAAATGAGATTTGACGTTCTCTCTTCTCCTCCCTCCCATATACTTTTACCGTATTCCTCCAGGACGTGGATGATAATGCTTCTTCACACAACTTCCTGTTCTTTGTACCGCTTAGTAAGATTTGTCTTTTTGCTGTCACTTCCAATCCCTTTTTCTGCCAACCATTTACACAAGCTCCTTTCTTCGAAGTTCCCCTCTTGCCTTCAATGTGGTGATTTTTTAAGCGTAGCTTAGATGTGGCACAAGGCCAAAAGTATGAAGCACCCATTGAGGATCGAACTCATTACTCAGTCGTAATTATTCTAGCGAGACAAACTTAATAACGTCGAAGTTCCCCCTATTCCTTCAATATGTTCTGTGAGTGTTAAATTTTCCAAGCCCTCTTTCATCATTGTGTCCTAGAAATTTCAATTGTCTCTTTCTGATTTTAAGTATAGATTTTGTTTTGTTTCCATTTTCCTTAATACGTCTTCGTTTCTTACGCATGGAATTCTCAGCATCCTTCTGTAGAACCACATTTCTGTGGCTTCAAGTTTTTCCTTCATCTGTAAGGAGATTGCTCAACATTCAATGCCATATTGTGGGAAATGTGTCCCGGTTTTCCCCACATGAAAGGGTTATGGTTAAAAAGGTGACAGAATCGATAAAAGCAACAACAGCTTGAAGGTTTAGAGCGGATAAAATTCTTTCTTTAAGGAGGAAGAACGAAGACCCAAACTCCTTCTCGGGGTGTAATAATAAAAGAAAAAAGTGTTTATTTACATACGCAAAAAAGGTAAAGGGATATACACAAAAAAAATATGATAGAAAAAAGGAAATTCCTTTTGAAGGAAGAAAAAGTGTTCATAAAGGCATGCTCAAAATATTTCTATGAGCGCCTAAAAGTTTTTCAAACAACACTCACATAAGATTTCTTCAGAGCAATTGTTGAGGAGGAAACAATCGGAAAATCCGTAGTTTGTAGGGAAGACCCATCTGAAGTCACAAGGTATCCACCGGAAAGCATAACAGCCAGAGTGGAAACCAACCTACCTAAACACACAAGGCAGCCACCAAGGATAAGTACATCCAGAGTGGAAACCAACCCATCACCAAATAGCCAAACTGAAATACTAAATACCCCATCCCAAACTTGCAATTACCATCCCAAACACATCCTTCATGAAACACATACACGCAATAACACTACAGAAAACAAAACAACCAAATCTGGCCGAATAATAAGGCCACCTGAAAGATTCAGAGACTAAAACACAAAACCTTTTTTTTTAATGTTGTATTTCTAATAAAAAAAAAAAAGAAAATCTGTGTGAACACAACAAAATATTTTTGTTTATTTTTTTTTTTTTTTGTACTTTTTATAAAAAAAAAAGAAAAGGAAGAATCTCTGTGTGAACACAACAGAATATTTACTTTGTTTATTTCAGGTGTTTTATAGTATAAAAGAAAATTAAAAAAAAAACAACTTTTGTCTAAAAAGGAATGTCATGATAATCCCTCAAGAGTTATGCCCCTTACATAAGGGTTCAGTGTAGACAGAATAAAAAGATGGCTGAACAAGCCTAACGTTAAAAAAAAGTGTTTCCTGTAAATACTATTACACCTTCTGTATAAGTGCCTGTAGTTTACTTCACCTGTCTCTTATCAACTGTTTCACCTGCATATTGTTAAAATTGTGGCCACCAATAATGAATTCTGGGCAAGACTTCCAATTCTCTCAGAATCTCCCCACTGTAAAGTTTGAATAAGTCTGGTGAGAAGACAACATTGTCTTACGTCCCTACAAAAAAATAAGGATAATTAGTAAAAAAAAAAAAAAAAAAAAAACAATATTATTAAAAAAACAAAAAAATAGTAAAGATAACAATAATCAGGATAATTGATAAAACTTACAAAAGAAATCATTATAAAATACAGCTATTTTTTATTAATTTTATTTTTCCCGACTGCCATCATTTTTTTAAAATTTACATATCAGTTGTGGTGTTATTAAAGGCCTATTTAATGTCAGGGAATCAACTCTGTTTATGTTATTTACTCGCCTCCTGGCGGTAGCGAGATGTAACACTAGGTGTTTTTGGTGTGGGACTGCCCTCGGCCATTCTAAAAAATGCCCAGTCTCACTGTAGTGTCGTCAATAGTCCACGTACCGACCCCATCCTCTTTTAATGCAATAAAGGAGGCGTTGTCACAGGGTTGGAATCCCTGGGACTGGGCGTCTTCTCCTTTGTAAAATGAGAACGAATATTTTTAATTTACTTATTGATCCCGGCCAATTGATACCAAAAAGAAATCCCAGAGAAGACGCAACTATGTTTAGGGGCCACCAAAATAGATGCGTTTTTTTTTTGTTTTGTTTTTTCGAAATGAAAAAAAAAAAGGTACCCCTGTTTTTTAAAAAATGCTGAAAATCAAGGAATTATTCGATTCAAACGAAATTTTTTTACTTATTAGAATTACTAAATGAATTGTAGGCTAGTACTTCGTAGTGTTATAAAATAAAAGAGGACATATCTCGGCTGATTTACAGGCAAATATTCAAGAGCGAGAGCCGGATGTGAACGGGACAAAGTCCCGTCACAAAATGACCATTATCTTCATTTACAAATGTTCCCGACACACGAGTTCCGGTCGAAAAATAAAATAATATTTAAAGTGTTCTATTTTTCGTCCAATAAAACTGCTTCCTTTCTAATTATACTCGCTTCGTTTTTCGAGCCTATTAAGCCATAAAAAAACGCTATAAAAGGGGCCACACGGAAGTTCAACAGGCAGTCCACAGGTGCCCAGGGTAGAGACCTGTCATGGTCAGCAGCTGACAGCAGGGAAGCATCAACCACCGTCAACATGTGTGAACTACTATGAGAGATCGACCTAGATCCGAAGCCGGCTTATGAACTTTACTACAAGGTAGCTGTCCCAAACCCTCACGTTCCTGTTGAAATAAACCACGTAAATCTATTTCTGCTGTTGTCGTATTTCTTTCTTGCAACCATACGCTTGTCTATAACAGTAGGAGTCATTACGGACTTCCTAAAAAACGCATTTTAAATAATTTAGATGCCTTTTATGAACAGAAATTTTTTAAAATAACCGAATTAAAAGATAAAATAATTTGTGTATATAAATGATTTTTTAGATCGTTTTTAAAACTTTGACACTTTTTTTCGCCACTCATCGAACTGCCATTAAAGACGAAAACTTAAATAACAAATTTAAAAATCCAGTATTTTCTATGTCATTTAGTAAATTTAAGGATTAATTAACTGGATTTTGTAAAAAGTAATGCTTACTTACTTAAAACTTAATTAAAATAACGTTTATTTACGCGCGGTAGCCTGTGGGGTTATAGATCAAAAATAAAAAATTGTACAATTATACTGCCTACTTAAAAAGCGCGCGAAAAAGTAAAATTAAAGCGTTATGGACGAAACACCAACAATGTAATAATCAAGACATTGATATTTAGGTTTAAAAATAAATTATCTTTGAAGTTATGATAAGCAATAGTTTAGGGGATTTTTTTATATAAGACTTTATGAAACCAAATAGATTTAATTAATTTTTTTATACTACAATAAAAGTATTATATTTTTAAAATTTAAATGATACTTTTAAGTAATTTTTTCATTATTTTCGTACTTGTTTAACGTCATAATTGCACCCAATGCGGATTTTAAAAAAATTATTCTGAATTTAAGACTTAATTAAATTATTACTCGTCCGATAGGTGAAGATTTTTTTTACTGTCCAGTCTGAAAGAAAATAACGTGCTTTATTAAAAAAATCCTGTACAAACTGTCAGAAAAAATATCTTTGAGTTTTATTGGATTATTTTTGGTAAGATTCAGGACAAAGTTTTAGTATGTTCATACTTGATATTGCATAGATGTTTTTCTAAAATAACCTCTTCAGGTATTTTTCTTTAACTGTGAAATAAAAAGATTTTGACGAACACCTCCAAATTAAAAAAAAGTACACATAAGATATCGAAAACATATTCATTCATTAATGAATAATGAGTGCTGAAAATATCGTTTGGATTTGATAATTACGTGATTTTGGCAAATATTTTAAAACAGCGGGTAGCGATTTTTTGCTTTTATTTCGGAAAAAAAACGCATGCATGTTCTTGGTGGCAAGTAACTAAAGATTTTCAAACAATTTTATATAACATTTAAAATTAAAAATGTTTTACTTTCTTTTTAACACTGATGCTTGTGACCGGTGTTCGAGCTCACATAAAGAATTACGTGTAATACTGATTTTCTGAACTTGAAAAATTGGTGTATTGTAGTATTAATTAGTATAACAATCTTCCTATCCCGCCCCGATTTGTAAACTAAAGCTTAGAAAGTAAATATCAATAAATCAAACACACGTAGATGATTAGAGTTATCTCCCTTGGGGTGGGGAGATAACTATAATGTCATCTGAATTTACTAACTCTTCAATTATTCAACAACATGGAGGAACACGCGGCTCTGTTGAAAAAGCTGCGCGAACAATTAAATGAAAAAGACGAAGAAATTCGACGTTTAAAACAGCAGTTAGAAGAAAGGGTATTTTAAAGAAAAGCTTTCACCTTTTTTTACTCATTTAGTTATATTTTTCCTGTTGTTTTATCTCCAGAACATTGTTTTATCTGTTCATTCAGATAGCATTTTTTTATACTTTAACTTATGTATGGCGATAAAAAAAAAAAAAGTGTTTAAACTCACAAGAAATTATTTCGTCATTTGTTTCCTTTCACTTACCTCCAAAAGATTCGCTAAAAAATGAGCATACATGATGTAAAAATGCCCCAAGCCAAAACTTAATAAAACAGTTTTATCGTCAAAATCTTTGTGTTATTATTAGAATTAGGAGGAAAAGACCAAAAGATTTTTTTTAAATTTTTTAGAAACTTCGAAATTTTGCTTAAAATCCTATTTTTCTTGTGTCAACGTGGTGTCATATCTTTTTTCAGTGACAATCAAATTAATTTGGAAATTCTTGCAAAAATCAGATAATTGTTGGATTTTATTTTAAAATGAAATTTTTCGGAATTATGAATGAAATTATTTTTGAAACGTTTCCTTTTTAGAAAATCTTGGCAAAAAAATATTTTTTTTTACATTTGTTAACCTACACTTTTATTAAATTTCGAGAAATTTTTTTCTTTTTTTACTTAATGTAGTGTGGAGAAATTAACTTTTGGTCAGGCAGGGAAGCAGTAGTGTACTTATCTTGTGTTGATGAAATGCTTAAACTAAAACCTTGTTCTTTTCTGTACTAATCCTTTATAGTTATAGTGGTCACATGACCAGGTTACCGTGTGATACATGAAGTTGCGTAAAAGGAGAGGAAACTTATCTCTTTTTATTATTATTATTAAATTTACCTTCCATGTTATTAGACAGTTATACATCACAGAAAAGTGGCAATATATTTTGCAACTCAAGGTAAGTGCTATTGCCTTTTCCTTTCCTTCACCTGACCACTCTCTGTTCATTTTGGGGATTGGGAACATTTTCTCAACATCTTGCAAAATATACCCTCGGACATAAGTTGATATGGATGATAGCAAGGAGGCATTTACAGAAAAGGATTTCTCTCCTACGGTCGAAAAATTAAAATGACTCTAGATGATGCACATCAGGAGGAGGAATTGGATTTTATTTAAGAGTACAAAGAGGGTTGGAAAAAATGTTCAGTGTGGAGTCACTGGGGATAAGAGAACAAGAAAAGTTGTCTAACTATGATGAACAAATGGTTAAGCTCTCTCGACAATCCATCTCCGTCAAGGATAAGTATTATGTACAATTACCTTGGAATTCTATCTTGTGTCACTTCCAACCATTCTGAGGCTTTACACATAGAGTGGAGACTGGAACATGATCTGCTTTATCATTATTTATTATCTGCTTTGGAGGTGTTCCATCAGTGTGACAGAATAATAAACTTTTCTTCCTCCTCGGCAGTTTAAGGAGTATATTTGGACACTGCACAGGCCTGTCTTAAAGTCAGTTCTTACCGCCACCACTAAAATTTGACCAGTATTCAGCTGCAGCCTCAAGACTCCCCTACCCTTAACGAGGCTGCCTACCAGGGAGTGAACCCTACAAGTGACCTGTAATCTTGTCTTGTTGGCAGATATCAAGAAGGCCTTCCTAATAATCCATCTGGAAATAGAAGATGAAAAGAACAGGTTTTGCTTCTTCCTGAAGGACAGTGGTTGACTGCATTGTTTAAGGTACACTACAATCATTTTTGGTTTCACCTCTAGTCCCTTCATATTAAATTGTATTCTCTGGCACCATGCGGCTCAGTTCCTACCAGATACTTGCAGACACATGATGAAGAATTGGTTTTATATAGACAATTTGGTGATGATCAATGATTGTCCAGATGAGCTCTGCAATTTGTAAGCCCTCTCCAGGAAACGATTGCAATGGCATGGGGGGGTCTTGCAACTCTGTGTAGAGATTTGGGACAGAATGGAAAAGGATGGTACCCTGAGTAATCATGGAACTGATTGGAAGAAGGTGCTGGGATATTGGTACAGTCCCCCTCTATGACACATATCCCTCCCATTGAATGCGACCCTAATGCTTCTACAAAGAGACAAATTTTTGCTGAAGCAGCAAGACTCTTCAACTTCTTGTCTCTATACTTGCCTGCAAGGTTGGCACTAGGGTTTTGCCCCCACCCCTCCAAAATTTTGATATGGGGTCCCCCTCTCTACTACATGTCGATTTCAAAGTTTCCCAACTCAGGGCCACAAACCCCTGAAGGAAAATTGGGGTTGGTGGGAAAGGCAGCACTTTTTTAAATTACTAAAAATCAGGGAATTATCCAATTTAAATTAAAATTTCCATACATATTTATTATTTACTTTTATAATAAATAGGTTTTTTATTTTTTTAAAAATCTGAGAAAAAGTTATTCTTTTTTTAATAACCACCAATATTTTCATGATTAAATTTTACTCGAAAAAAATGTTTAAGTCGCAAATTCTTACATTTCCATAAAGATTAATCATCAACATATCTCTGCTGAAAAAAAAAAAATTTACAAAGATTTCAACAAAACACAAATGAGATTGTCTTAGAAATTTGGTTTAAAAACAGTATTTCAGTTTTCAGGAAAATTTTTCATGCATTGAAATCTTTAAACATTTTTATTTTTTTTAGTATCATTTTCTCATTTTTATCTTTCTAGGAATGTTAAAAATAGAGACTAGAAATTTTATTTTAATTACTAGCTGTGAACTTTCGGTTACTATTACTATTAGTAAAAAAAAAAAAATAATTATAAAATCAAGTCCTCCTTAGTGAATGATTTTGGAGTAAAAAATGATTTTACTAAAATATATTCCCCTCTTAATTAATTTTAAAAGAACTGTTCAGAAAGAAAATTACAATTTAAAAAAATATGCGCTACTGAAATTAGCACATCGGGAGTAAAATGCACTGACCCTGCTTGCCTGTCTCATTTTGTTCCTCAAAAGGTATTCTTCCTTCGCAAAGCTCTTGTGGATAACTTCCTTAGTCCTTAAATTTGTCAATAGGTAGTGGTGGTTGGAGGTTGACAGTGAAGGGCTGGCTGCCATTTTTTTTATGAAGACTCTGCAGCAACGGTCATATTCTGAAGAATTAGAATTCTTGCTGGATCCTTCGGGCAGGACCATCCCTAGGTTAGTGTGGGACTTTGATCTGTTCATTAACAGGAGAGGGCCTAACCAGGTCAGGTGGCAGAATCAGTAGGTTTCTTCACTTAAATATGGAGGTTAAACACCCTATCCTGTTGGCTAAACATCACCTTATAACCAGGCTCATCATAATGGATTGCCATGTCAGGTGCCAGCACTTGGAAGTTGGGTTAGCCTTGGCTGAACTGAGACGCTGTGGTTACTGGGTACCTAAGGGAATACAAGCTGTTAAGACTGTCATGGGTTCTTGTGCACTGTGCAGGAAGTACAATGCCAGACAAGTCCTGCCTCCTGATGCAGCCAATTTACCCACTTCACATGTGGAACTAGATATTCTCTTCAAATATACTAGAGTTGACTTCACCAGACACCTTTGGGTTAGAGAGGGTAGTGGGGAAGTGAAAATGTATTTGCTCATCTTCACTTGTCTCAGTGTCAAAACAGTACATATTGGAGTGGTGCCATACATGGGTGTGCTGTCCTTTCTTCAGGCTTTGGTATGTTTTACCAACTTGTATGGCATTCCAGCTACATCTACAGTGACAATGCAAAGACCTTCCTGGGAGATGGCTGGCTGTTTAAGAGTTTGATGTTGTGCCACGATTTTCAGCAGAAGTTTGTCTCTTGCTGAATCAAGTTCTGCCCTATTCCACTTTTCTCTCCCTGGGTTGGCAGTATCTGGGAAAGAAGTATCCAAACTATCAAAACCTGCCGCCACAAGGTAGTTGGTCAAAGTGAAATAGATTGTTTCCTCTTAATAACCACTATATCCGATATTCAAAGGTCTATTAACAACCGTCCCCTCATATATTTGGAATCTACAAAAAGAGAACTGGAGGTGGTAACACCTAACATGTTTTTTAAGCTCTAATGAGAATCCTGGGCAACTGTCGAACCTGAATGATGGGGATTTTGCTCCTTCCATGCAGCGAGCTGGGAGAGACTTCTCAGAACCCTGCAGGTGTGGAACCAATGCATGGAAAAAATTTAGGGCCTTATACAATGAATACCTGCTAAGCCTCAGGGAAAGGCTCCAGGGTTGTTCTCTGGTGCCATTTCAGAATAGACTGAGGCTTGGGGACATGGTCCTAGTCAAGAGCTCTCTTAAACCCAGACCCTTTTGCATTCTTGGGATTGTCACGGAGGTGATTAGTGAAGAGGGTGGTGTTGTCAGGTCAGCTAAGGTCAAACAGGGAGGTTGTGCGGTGCAGGTCCACTCCTTGAAACACCTGTCTCCTCTTGAGCTGTTTCTGTTCTCTGACAGGGAAGATCAAATCAGAATTATGTCCTTGCCTACTGGTGTACCTGCAGCAGACCATGCCTCTATCACTCCTGAAATCTCACCTTCTGAGGAAGGTGATGTTTGGCTGTGTCAGGTCTGCAATGCCCTGCAAGGTGATCGAGCAATGACTTGCTGTGACAGGTGTGATGACTGGTGTCACTGCAGGTGTGTGAGGATCATATCTCCCCCTCCTCTAAGACAAAAATGGTACTGTCTGGATTGTGCCGCTCCTATCTCCAGATTCATGATACTGTTGCAGGCTTCGACATTGTAGTTGAGATACATACATGCCAGCAGGAGCGAAAAGAATACATCTTTTCGCTATGAAAAGTTACCAAGAATACTTAAGATTTTAGAATAAATTTTTTAAAATGAAAAATATTTCTTGAAGTTTTTATTTTAGTTTTAATTTTAAGCTAATAATATATGAATAAAATATATCATGAATACTGTTATCTTAATAAAAAAAAAAAAAAGATTTAAGTGAGTAATGAATTTTTACAAGAATTGTTTTCATTTTTTTAAAAGTTTTAATTAGAATCATATATATATATATATATATATATATATATATATATATATATATATATATATATATATAAAGTTGTACCTTCTGTCTGTCTTTTTGTTATCAAGCTTCACCTAGGGTTTTGGAGATAGACCTCCATAACCATATATATTCTGAAACTACATTACCCAGGCTACTTGGATACTTCATTTTGATCAAAGGGAATCCCTGGTGGGTACAAATCCCACCACTGAAAAATTTACCTTTGATATAAATTTAAATTTGAACAAGGGGATGACTCCTAGGGTACTTGGATAAGTATATTTCGTTTTGATCAAAGGGGGTCTCCCAAGGGAGAAACCAACACACACACACTGAAAATTTTTTTTACCCGTTGATTTAAATTTGAACAATGGAGTGATGTCTATCCAAAATATAGGAGGAGAAAGCCAGAAGATGGTCACATTAGCAAGATCAAAATGAGACAATATTGATGTCAAGTTCAGCAAGAAATCACCAATCAGTGGGTAGTGCCTTACAATGCAAATTTGTTGCAACAATTCAACTGCCATACCAATGTTGAAATCTGCTCATCAATTCATTCAATCAATTGAATTGCGTCAAATACATATCAAAGGGGTCAGATCAAGCTGTTTTTGCAGAATCCCTCATTGAATTTTTTCTTTTTGATTTAAATTAAATTTAAATTTGAACAAGGGAATGACTCTTATCCAAAATATAGGAGAAAGCCAGAAAATGGAGGTCATATTGACAAGATCATTGAGTAATATTGAAATGCATTTACAATCAATCCTCATTTTCTTACATAAAAATGTGTGACATGCAGCAAGGCATAGGTAATTCAGCTAGTCTCTATCTATAAAAGGCAGGATGTGTGTGTGTAACAAATGCACAGCCGCAATTTTCGACGGATTTGCACCAAAATTTACATGCACATGCTCCAAGTTAGCGGGAAGGCCAAGACCAACTTTGCATTTCCCAACTCTCATCGATAGTGGAAATAATCGATTTTTTCATGCTTCTACAGCAGTTTTCATGTAGTTTGCGGCCATTTTCTACTGGCAAGAGTGAGAGCCAATAGCTGGCTGCCATAAATAGGCAGAAAGATTCTATTGGCCAGCGTGAGAGCCAACAGCTGACTGATACAAATGTTAACTAGAAAAAATCGATAGCTGCATTTGTCACAAATGGGAAAAATTTAAATCTGCATGGCACTTTACTCCAATTGGCTCATTCACTTGCTTAAACTCAACATTGATTCTGATTCTGCAGAACTGGGTTGGGTGTGAAAAAGTATTTGTTGTTAGCATTCTTTTTCATTCAGTTTTTCCAGTTTTGAGTCCTTTTTTAAAGCTGATCGTTTTGTGTTTATTTTGTTTAGTTCTTTTTCGTAACAGATTTAATGTTTAGTATAGAGCTTAGAAAAAATTTGCAGTGTGAGATAGGCAAGAAGTAAGGCATGTAGCAAATGGCACTCCTTTAAAGTCAAGGAAGGGCAAAAATATTTTAAGTCAAGTGATAGTGATTGCTGTATGAGTCGTATGATTTTTGAATCAAGCATGGTCAACGCCAGGCCATGCTGCTAGTAATTTATAAAGTTTTAAATCTTTTAAAATTCTGTCTTACTTTGCAGAGGTTAGGTGATATTGTTATTAAGTGAAACCTATTTTAAAAAGAATTTAGAATTTTTTTTTTATATGCATAAATGTGTCAGTTTTGGTAATACTAACATCCATATGCAACATTATCAGAAAATACAAGTGATAACTATAGTAAATTTAAAGCCAAAGAACTTAAAATTCAATAAAACATTACATTATGGAGAATATTTTTCTAAATTTTTAAGATTACTGGATAATTAAAAATTATATAAAAAAAAAGATGCTCAAGTAATCTTTACAGATATGTCCACTATAGAATAAAATAAGATAAACTTCCATCTGTCAATTAACTTGTCAACCTGTCAAGACCTTAAATAAATAGCTACCACCATTTTAAAAATGCATTTCTGCAATATTTTAAATTAAAAGTAATATTTGTATCAAATCAGATTAGTGATACTTTAAATCAAAATTAATGATACTCTAAATTAAAGTTTCAGAAAAGTATATTTTATTTTTGAAAGATTTTTAATAAAAAGAATTGTGATAACAGATGGTTAAAAAACTGAACACTAAAAAATAGTAAATTCTAACATCCAGGCTCTGGAAAAGGCTAAGTTAGTGAGAAAGAACATTGTGAAAATTTGATTAAAAAAATCAAATAAATTGTTTAAAATGATGTGATTACCATTTAATCTTTATGACAAAATCTTTAAAGTTTAGGAAGAGAACATTATCAGAATTCTTGATTTTTCAAACAAGAGATAAAAATTAAGTTTCACAATAGATTTTTGTCATTGCTATAAATGAAAACTTGAAAAATATAATTTTTGTGATATCTAAATGCTCTTTATTTTCCCATTTCTGAAAATGCAACATTACTTTCCAGACAAATTAATATTTACTATTGAATTTGTTCTTTTTTTTTTTTTTTTTTTGTCCTAAAAGGGATGTAAAACATTTCCTGGAATAACAACTGATCAGAAAGCACATCACATTGAAAATAGTGATTCCAGTGTTGATAATAAACTCAGCAATGAGTGCATTGCTCGCTTTAGCAGGCAACTCATTCTACCACAAATTGGAGTGAAAGGTAAGTAACATTGAAGTGTATATATTGAATTGTTTTAACAGATTCTTGATTTTATTCATTGACAAAACAAGAAATGTATGTATCAGAAAACAAAATGGAAGAAATTGACTCTACAGAAATGTAATATTTTGTCAATTTTCTTTACTTGTCTCACAGAAGTAACTTCTAGATACATTGGTCCCACTTTAAAACAATTACTCTTAAAAGTGGTCAATCTGTGTGTATGTCTGCTTTTGCTAAGTAGACTAAGAAATGTTAACTTACATCTCAGCTATAGCTAGTGCCAGACTTACATATAGGCTAATATTGGGGGATCCTGATATCACTGAAAAAAAAAAAGGATATAAGAACAGAGGAGATTTGTTTTATTTTCAGATTTAATGGGTCTCCTTTGAACTATTTTAAAACTATTTAGAGTATTTGGGCCCCTCTAGTTGGAGGGGGGTCTTTTAAATTCAATGGGGAGGGCATTTAGATTTTAATGTATCTTTTTTTATATACATATATATTTTTGATGTAGCTTTTTTAGTTTTGCATAATTTTGTCTATTTGCTCATTTTTATACTTCATTGAACACAAGCATGTAATAAATACAAAATTGCTTGCGCATACATATTGAAGGAGCCCCTAAATTCTATCAAACCCCTAAAGGTCTCTTAAGGCCTAAATCTGGCCCTGATGTAACCATTTCATGAAAATTGCATGTGTATATTTTTATAACAGATCCTCATCTTGACAACATTTTTTCAGAAGCCAATGATCAAATAATCTGGAAACTGGTTTCACACTTCCCAGACTATATTATAGATTATTGTTACTAGTAAATATTTAATATTCTTCTGTTTTTACATTGCTTTCTATAATCACTTTAATAATAAGACTGTGTTGAACAAGTGGAAAACTAATCATTTCACACCTCCCAACCCATATGGAAAGAGTTTGAATTCTAGTCAAGTTTGTTACTTTCACTTCCATGTAAATACTATTGGGGAAGGTATAAATCTATTTCTTTTCTTCCCTTCAGCTATGGGTTAAATAGTAGTACTTGTTCTGTAAAAATAATTTTTATCTCCAAAAAATTGTTAATGCAATATTCATTCACAAAAAAATAAATATACTTATAATCAAAAATATGTTTCATCTTTTAAATAACCCACAAGAGGTTAATAAGCCATTAAAAGAAAAAAAAAAACAAAAAAAACACAACTCAATTCCAACCCATTATATTATAGATTATTAATGTTACCAAATGCCTGGTGATCAGAGCATGTGAAATCCAATCAGTAAGTCAAGTGTGGAAATGAAAAAGAAGAAATACTGACTTAAAGGATCTAATGGATAAAAAGCACTGAAAAGTTTCTTTTATTTCCTAGGAGTTCTGGATTCAATCCTTTAGCTGGACACAAGAATACACTAACAGGAAAAGCAGAATAGCCTGAGGAAAAAATGACACTTTACAAATTCAAAAATCCCTGGTTAGGAGACAGGACACATGATTGAAAGGAAAGAATAAGTAAAACATACAAGTTGAATAAAATATAGAGTTCTATTTGAAATTTATAGGCTATCAAATGCAACAGACAACCCCCCCCCCCCATTTGCAGGAGGTAAAAGTTCAATGTTCCTGAAATGTGATAAAAACAACAAAGATGGGGATATCAGTCCAAAAGAATCATCATGTGACTAGTTTCTTCATAGGAAAAATGTTTACCTATGTCATTATGGGTATTTTTGATTTTCTTGCTGTTTTTGTATTTTATGCGTGTTTACTTATTCATATCCAGTATCTATTAGTTGTCACTGGGGATCAAATGACAGCACTGCTGCCATCTGGACAGTCTCAATCTTTTATCAATTTTCCAATTCCCTCCACTTCATCTTTGTGATAGTTTCAAGTGCATTAAAATAGACATAAACCTAAACTTTGTTCTACAACTATTGTTGTCATTTCATTTTATATATTTTGTTTTCATTATTATTTAGGTCAACAATCAATTTCCAAATGCAGAGTTTTGGTTGTAGGTGCTGGAGGACTTGGCTGTCCAGTTTCCATATATCTTGTAGCTGCTGGCATTGGTAAGAAAATTTGAAATTCTTTCTTCTTGAGCAAAATTCTATTGAATTTTGTAATGCTGTTCATGCTATACAAACATTTTAAGCTTCATTTATTTATTTTTTAATGACCATTTCACACTCCCTAAGATAATATATATATATATATTGGATTATTTGACATTCTAGAGTACTCGAGGGAGGGGAATATAAAAAGATAATATAAAATAAAAATAAATATGACTGGCAAATTTACCAATGGCATAAAACAACTAATTTGAAAAAAAATATTGACATTAGTGTATGATATCACTATCATAATTTAAACACAATGATTTTAAAGAGAAAAATTTTAAAGATTATTAAATGTCTCAATAGAAAACAATAGTATAGATAATCTTTCTTCAAAACTTAACAAAAATGAAAATTGATTAAATTCTTTATTGATTATGTTCAATATAAATTATGACAAAAAAGTACTCTACACATACACACAGATATATATTTTAATCATTTCACCACAAACAAGACAATAAAACCACTAAGATGCAAGGAGTTATTGAGTGCGAGAGAATGAGGAAAAATATTAAAGAGAGAGAACAATAAAAGAACAGGAATTAAGAACGCAGAATATAACGATTGACATTGCATTTGAATTTTTGAAGATCAAAGTTAACTGGGAAGTAGGAGGTCAGAAGGGAGTTCCACAAACAAGATGTATGAGGCAAGAAACTGTTAGCATAAAACTTACAGTTACATCTAGTTGCAAAATAAAGAGACTGCCACCAATGTAGAACTGAGCTAAAATTCATAAAGTCAAGGTATCATAGAGAAAAGCCAAAACATTAGGCAGCTACCTAATAGCAGCCACAGCTCTTGAGTGACAGCCAGTCTAGGAGAAATACAATTCAAAATCATGGAGAAGGCAACAGGACATCACAAGAAGCCATGCCAATTAAAAATCATGTAGAATGCAGCAGGACATCACAAGATGCCATGCCAATTCAGAATCATGTAGAATGCAGCAGGACATCACAAGATGCCATGCCAATTCAGAATCATGGAGAACGCAGCAGGACATCACAAGAAGCCATGTCAATTCAGAATCATGGAGAACGCAGCAGGACATCACAAGAAGCCATGCCAATTCAGAATCATGGAGAATGCAGCAGGACATCACAAAAAGCCATGCCAATTCAGAATCATGGAGAATGCAGCAGGACATCACAAGAAGCTATGCCAATTCAGAATCATGGAGAATGCAGCAGGACATCACATGATGCCATGCCAATTCAGAATCATGGAGAATGCAGCAGGACATCACAAGAATCCATGCAAATTCAGAATCATGTAGAATGCAACAGGACATCACAAGAAGCCATGTCAATTCAGAATCATGGAGAATGCAGCAGGACATCACAAGAAGCCATAACAATTCGAAATCATGGAGAATGCAGCAGGACATCACAAGAAGCCATGCCAATTCAGAATCATGGAGAATGCAGCAGGACATCACAAGAAGCCATGCCAATTCAGAATCATGGAGAATGCAGCAGGACATCATAAGAAGCCATGCCAATTCAGAATCATGGAGAATGCAGCAGGACATCACAAGAAGCCATGCCAATTCAGAATCATGGAGAATGCAGCAGGACATCACAAGAAGCCATGCCAATTCAAAATCATGGAGAATGCAGCAGGACATCACAAGAAGCCATAACAATTCAAAATCATGGAGAATGCAGCAGGACATCACAAGAAGCCATAACAATTCAAAATCATGGAGAATGCCATAAGACATCACAAGAAGCCATGACAATTCAAAATCATCGGGAAGGCAGCACTCTTACAGAACCTCCACCCCACACCACCCACACTCCATTCCAGTTTGCCTGACACTTTATTCACAAGCTGGATCCAGGGCCTCATTTACTCTATATGGCCTGGAAATGCAATTTATCTGATCAAGTGACATGACCTTTCACCAGTCACTTTATCTAACCCAGTGGAGGTACAGTAACTGAAGTGGGAGGGTCAATAATGGTACTTTTTTGTTGGTCAGTAACTATGAAAATCTATGAAATAAAGTGTAAATGCACCGATGTTCAATTTGGATGGGATTTGATGCAGTGATCCCCTTCACTAGGTAGTTCAGCTGGTAGTTAGTGGGCTATCTTTCTATCCTCAACAATCGAATGTTATTGGATACCATCCCCCTCCTATTCCTGCCACATCTACACTACTTCTTTACTTATTGCATCACACATACATCATCTGACTGAATTTATTTCTACAAGTGGAGAATTACAAGTCCATCCTGTTGTACTGCTGTCTCTCCTGTTTTTAGCCTTTAAGTTTATCCAGGGTTTACCAGGTATTTGCAAACGAATTATAAAGAAAAACAAATTCACTGGAAAAAAAATTAGTATATTTAGCAATAAAATTACCCATGTTCAACTCAAAACTTATTCAATAAACCAACCCTGATCTTCAAGTATGGCTTGGGTGTGGCCTTGGAAGTAACTGCATGCTTGGATTAGGCATTTCTCATTGATATTGGTCTACCTCTCTATAATACCACAGGGGATTCAAATCAAGTCACATGACCTTCTGATTTGAAGCTTTTGTGATGGTATGACTGATTTTGTAGCCATTTGAGAGGGAGCAGAATACAGCCACTCTCTCAGTCAAGGACTTGATCTCTGTGCCCAGTATCTTAATGTAAATGATAGCAATGACCCTGAATCCCTGCAGTAAGAAGTTGTGGGCAACACAACATGATCCTCATTGTTAACAACCTCTAGCCTGGTGTTCCTTCTATTCATCTGGCCTATTTCAAGAAGCCTGACATCTCAAGTCACTGTGGTTGGCAGCCAGTGCCGCAAACATGGCTGGCCTTTTCATTTCCTAAGTTAGAACTGTCATATAGTGTTCTTAATCTGTCTGAAAGAAATGAGAATACTAAAATTTGGTGCATGCCACATGACATTATATTAGGCCATATTCCATTTCATTTATGGCTTACTAAGGGTATATTCTTAATTATCTGGCTTACACTTTGTGTAAAATGCATGCATGAATACACACACACACACACACACACATACGTAAATACAGAAAAAAAATTATTGCTATCATGTTCATTGTTGGAATTTTCTGAAAAGATATTTGACCTGCCTTGTGAATAAATGATAAATTATGTTTCCCATGTACTAAAAAAGAAAAGCTAAGTGTTAAAGCCAGGATTTTGAATGTTGGTTTTTCTAGCCAAGTAGGCAGTTATTTTGCTCTTGAAACACAGACTTCTGATTCTCATTTGTAAATACAGAAAATGAAAACATCTTAATGTAATGAGTTGGTCGGTCAGCTTGAAACTCCCAAAGCGAGTGGAGGTGGGCAGGCGTGGGAACTGTGATTGGTAGCTGGCTTGTTGGTGTTTTACATAGGTGAGTTACCAAGCTCTATGTAAAGGGCTGGAATGAGAAGGAGGGCAGTTTTCAGTCTCAGAAGTGAAGACTGTGTCCGTCACTACAACAGCAGGAGAGAAAGAGACAAAATCATTTATTTTTTTTCGTGACACATTCCAACACACTTAAAACTTTTTTATTTTTATTTTAGGCAAACTAGGGGTTGTAGACTACGATGCTGTTGAACTAAACAATCTTCACAGGCAAATTCTTCACACAGAATCCAGGCTTGGAATATCAAAGAGTCTTTCTCTGGTGACAGCCTGTGCCCAGTAAGTAATTACTACTGTATTTATTTCTTAAATAATTTACACTCATTACTGTAGCTCACTCAATAAGCTTATGGAAACACAAAGAAATAATAACTGGTGTGTGCAAAATTTTGCAGCAAACTTTTATTTTTATTTTTTTTAAATAAAAAACTAATCCTTCAGATGAGCAATATAAACTTAACATATCAGTTCTCACTGGTTATGACAATTTTAGTCCAGTAAGGACTAACCCATACTGATAGTTTAGGATATAACAGGGTAGTATTTCTGGTTTAACATTTTATGCATGAGGGATATAACAGGGTACTAACCCTAGTTTAATGGTTCCCAAACTTTTTTTTTTTCTCTGTGTGGCATTTTTGGAATGAAAATTTGCTTGCACCTACTTTTTGGTGATAAAAAGTACATTTAAAAATGAAAAACAGAGAGAGCCTTAAAGGGAGATAACTGGATTCAAATTATCATTGATAACTATCTCCTCCAATTTGCAGACCCTAGTTACTATATTCTTAATACTTGATAATAATGCAAAAATATCACATTGATAAAATCAGTCAATAATTATTTATAACTATTCATACTGGGACTCATAGATGCAATTACAAATAATCTGTAATAATATTTTAAATTTTGAAATCATGATTATTTTTGGCATATGAATTTTTTGAAACTGTTTCTAAATCTTTGATTGTTTATCAATCATTCCGCCTCACCTGCTATCCTTTTTCGCTGCACCTATGAGGCGCACTGTTTGGGATCCACTGCCCTAGTTCAACATTTTACTGCCTTGGTAATGCCTAATGACGAAGCAGGAAATAATTAACATTAAACCATGAAAAGAAAGTCATTGAAATTAATTAAGTATTGAGGAGAGAAAAAGAAATAAATTAATAATAATTAGAAGCCATAAAATGAGTTTCGGGAAGACTCTAGGATGATTCAAACCTGAACAAAACCAAGTAGAATTAATTAAGATTTAGTACGACTAGATATTACCCGACCTACCCAATTTGCATCAGGTGAAGTATTTACAAATATCTAAAAAAGAATTCTTGTTATATTTATTTAAAAAAGAAAGGTCATGAATGCCTTATCAAAAAACAAGCAATAAATCAATGCCAGAGATACTCTTGTATAAACAAGCCAATACTCTGAGTTAGGGTCACAAAGAAAGATCTGATGGTGAGATAGGTGATGCCTGATTTTAATCCTTACTTCTTCCTCTTACTAAAAATTACTGCTAGAATAATTTTCCTGCTGAAAGACCATCAACCAGACTACATCAAAATATTAATAAATTCTTTACTCCTTATATAATTTAAAATTCTTCAATTTGTTATCATTAAACTCATTGTCAGATAACAGAATTTGTTGGTCAGTGACTTGAAATGAGTTTTCAACAAAGAAGTTGCCATGGCTGCAAGGATTTCACACATAAAATCTTCACAAATTCTCAACAACCACTGACTAAAATTCTGAAAATTTTGGCTACCTTCTGGTTTGCTGATGTCAACAAATCAAAAACACCACCAAGAATAATGTTTTTGTTAGCACTGAGACAGAGAATGAAAAACAAAAGCAAACAACAATAGTGGTGGTGATGCTCCAGTGGGATATTATAGGAAAAGATCAAATTGTTGTTAAAATTTGACCCTAAATTAATACAATGAATTAAGTTTCAAGGCAATGAGAAAAATAAAAGGCAACTCAATCTTTTTCTTTTTTTAGGCTTCCATATTTAAAAAAAAACATGAACATTAGTTTCTGGTATAAACAAACTGAAATAAAATAAATAAAATTTTTGATGTATAATTTTAAATCTTTTGAATTAATTTCTTTATTAAAAAGGAAAAAGATTATACTGAAAATAAATATGTTGTAAAATAAGTGCTTTTTTCAGCAGTAGTCTATGGATTTATTGATTTAGGTATATATTTTCATAAATATGATGTTGATATGTAATATTTCTTTTCTTTTTGAGGTTGAATTCTGCTGTTGAATATGTTCCTTATCACCTGCAACTGAACAGCAAAAATGCTGTTGAAATCATTGAAAAGTATCCTTTTAAAAGGAACCTATTAAAAGAGTTGAATATTTGACCCACCACTCCCAAAATGGGGTGGGGATCAACCTATATATAGATGTCTTAATCTGTGCACAACAGGCAAATCCAGGAGCAGCTCTTAGCTTCATTAAATAATGCAGACATAAAATGGCTGCTTTATTCTGTTTCTTGTATGGACAGTTATTACATTTTTCTGAAATGCGAATCTAGGGTTTGTGTCAAGTCCCTGGCCTTTCTGTTTGTTTGTAGATATGTACATTATATTTTTCAACGTATATTCAGCTTGTAGTGTTTTATCCCCATCCTGATTGAGTTGAAATCAGTTATCCTTGCTGACTAAGAAACCTACATAATATTAAGCTGGAAGGAATTGGGAAAAGCAAAAGTGAGGAGGAAAAGGAAAAAGAGAATCTGAAGAAGTAGGAAGTAAGAAACTAGAGAAAAAAAATTGAAAGAAAACAAAGTGAAAGGAAAAAACGAAATGTATATATATATGTGTGTGTGTGTGTGTGTGTGTGTGTGTATATATATATATATATATATATATATATATATATATATATATATATATATATATATATATATATAAATTAAGAGTGTATTTTATGTCTATCAAACAAAACCTAGGATTAATATGGAGACAATAAAAATATATAAAGAAAAGAGGCAGGCTTGCTGGCTCTATATCAAGACACTAAGCACAAGAGTGAGATGTAGAAAAGGACAGAAAGATATAAAGATTATGATAAATTAAAATAGACCAAAAGCTTATCAACCCTTTGCAGGTTATTTAAAAACTGGAAAATATTTTTAGATTGTAAGAATTCTTTTTTGAAATTTTTGGCAGAAGGCACCAAGAATGACCATTCATGACTTGGTTCGATGATATTAAAAGGTGGACTGGAATGATGGTGGCTGAGGCTGTAAGGACAGCATCAGACAGAAAGAGATGGAGGAGAATGGTGACCACAATAGTGCAAAATGGACTAACTGAATAAATGCTGATAATTAATAGTTTAATGATACAAGTCTTACTAATTAACCCATAGCTAAGGGGAGAAGAGGTGAATTCATATCTTTCCCAAAAGTATTTGAGTCTGTGAATAAAACTATAGGAGGCATGGTGGAGTAATGGATAGCGTCTCTGATTGAAGAATCGGAGAGCCAAGTTCAAATTCCAGTCAAGTTCATTATATTCACTTATGTGCTAATACCCTTGGGAATGGTATAATTCCATCTTTTCTCCCCCTAGCTATGGGTAAGTAGCAGGACAGGTAGGGTCCTGTGGTAACTGGTCTAGGAGAAGGGAAAACTCTGCATTCAAAACCAGCTTGAAGCGTGTTGGGCTCCATCAAGTGTTCTTACCTAGGAAACACCACTGCAGCTGCAGTAAATGAGGGTCTCTTATGACCGTAATGGCTTACGGGTCTCACGATCATGAATATAACTAACCCACCTGGAATTGGAACTCTCCAGTTTTCATTTCTGAGCTTTTATCCTTTACACCACCTGCACATCCAAGCTTATAGCACATGGTATTTCCAAATGGTCATCCATCTTAGTACTGACCAAGCTCTACATTGCTTAACTTCAGTGATTATCATAGAGCAAAAGAAAGATAATGCTGTAAGCAAAAGTGTATGTTCATTCTTTATTGCTTTTTTGTATATGAAGCTATGTTTGTACAACATTTAAATAAAAATATGTCAGGCAAAAAAAAGATTGGAAAGAGATAACAAATAAGAGGGAGGGATGAAATAATGGATAATCTTAGCTGTCAACACCCATGTAATTTCTAGTGCCAAAATAATGGATAATCTTAGCTGTCAACACCCATGTAATTTCTAGTGCCAAAATTCAGGGATCTGTTTATGGGCAATGGTTTCATTAGATTGTAACTTGTTGCATGATAAAGTCTACAAGCAATTCTTGCTTCAAATACAATATTCAGCAGGGTGGTAGCACCTGTTAGGGTCCCAGCTATGAGCAAATAGTTAAACCCCAAACTGGGGCCAAAGCACTATGAAAGTATAAAATAGATTTTTATAGTAAAAATACCAGCAATATATTTTTGAAAAAAAAATATTATTAATACATTCATACGAACCTATCCTAAAAAAAACTTGTTGGCATTAAATAAGGCACTGAGGTCAAATATGCTATGAACCAAAATAAACCAAACCATTCAGGAGTTAAAAAAAAAAAAAAAAATGTTGTGTTAGTAATATTTCCACTCTTAATGAATGGAAATAAAAATTATTAGAATTATACCTGGAATGTAATGTCAAATTTTTGGAGATGGAATAAATCTAATTCAAATACAGTGTGCAGAAATACCTCCGACATAATGGTAAGACATTAGCTAGATGAAAACACCATTGGCACTAATATCTTACCATTATGTGGAAGATATCTTTGCCACATCCTATATATATATATATATATATATATATAAACATTAAATTTATTTATGGATAATTATTATGAGCAATAACAAACTTCTAGTATGAAAGTAATTATTTTATTCCTTGCTGAAAGAATCTGGAATTTTTCAATGAAAAATCTATTACAACATCTAGACTAAAGTTCTACCTACGTAGGGTCTTGGTGAACAGTCTCCGAAATAAGGTAGGCTTCTTCTATGACAAGCTAAAAGTTCCTGCATTTCAATGTAAAGTTCCATAGAAAGAGAAAATATAAGCTTGGTACAAAATAAATGATTGTTTTGAACCACAAACCTTAAAACATCATAATTTGGCTCAAACAACACTGGTAGCTATAACCTGGCCGAGAACATATTGTATCATAAAAAAAGCCAAATTGAAAGCATTTTCAACTCTATCCACATTGGTGTATACATATTGGCAAGTATATGCATCTAAGGTCCAGAGAAAGTGGTAATCAGCAGAAGAGAAGTCTGGTGAATAGGAAGGTTGTAGTAGGACCTTTATGCCAAACTATCAGTTTTTGCAATGTATAAAGTGTTGAATTTACAAGATTTTTCTTCACTCCTGGCTAAACTGCTTTATTATTAATAGAGTAGTTTTGTGTTTTTTTTTTTTTTTAATTCACAAAATCTAGAAGGAAATTTAGCATAGGTTGTTACTTTTAAATTACCAAAATCAATTTCCTTGCTCAGTTTACAAGTTATGACATTGTTGTAGATGCGTCCGACAATGTAGCTACAAGATATCTTGTAAATGACGCCTGCGTTATGTGTAACAAACCTTTGGTATCAGGAAGTGCCCTGCGTTTTGAGGGACAGGTAAGCAAGAAACATGAAATATTATTTATTTACCAGCTGACAATGGGACTAATATTAATGAAAATGTGATGAGTGAAAATCTTTTTCGTATGACACCTAGCATCTTATTTATTCATTTCATATTTTTTGTTGGTTTTTATCTCTTATCCAAGAATTTAATTACTTCTTCACTGATCTCTTCCTTTATGATGATAATGACGACTAAATTCACCATTAATTTTCAGGTTCAGGACTAGAAGCTTCCAGTTTCACCAAAGCCTTCTCCCATTATCCATTTCTTATTGCCATTTGGCTTTGCAAGATTTAATTGGAGGTGAAAGAAAATAAGTGCCAATGTTGTGAATTTGTTTAAGGTGGATGCCAACTTGCTAGGAAGTGACCGACACATTTGATTTCATCACCTTCCTCTTCGGCACATATGGAATGAAACATGCGGAATCCAGTTATGAAACTGCAATGGACTACTGCTGACACTGTTATAATTTCAAATGGTGCCTTCTGTAGCATGTCTATTGGATTCCTTGGGGTCGGTTGCTCTTAGTCCTCATCTTCGACCTTGCCATCAAAGAAGTTTAGACCTCCCAACGGCACCGTTCTCAGTCACTTGACCATGCAAGCTCTGCCACCATGACAATTCAAAAGCGCCAGAGATTGAACAGATACTACACTATGATTGTTGGTTGAAAAAAAAAATGTGTAATGGCTGTACATACAAACAAGCAAAAAATGCTTAATCCAATTCAGAAGGGACATGGATCAAACAGTCGTTGGTTTTATTTTGTTTCTAAAAATTTAATTTAATTTTTACTGCTTGCTTCCTTTATGATAATGGTGTTGATGACTACATTCACTGCCAATGTGCAGGTTGAGGACTAGAAGCTTCCAGTTTCACAAACTCCTGCTCCTGTCATCCATTCCCTATTGCCATTTGGCTTTGCAAGAGTTGGTTGAAGGTGAATGAAGATCAGAGTAGAAGAAAGTGTCAATGTGGCAGCAATATTCAATGTGTGGACAATTGGTAGACTTATAAATATATAAGATAAATTCTGTCAAGAAAAATTGTCTTGCACTATTAATATTGTGGCCTGATTGTAATCTAAGTAAAAAAATTGATGTAGTGTTTGTGTTGGACAGGTGGGAAGCAGGTGAGTCTCATGCATTTGCTAAGTACTTGTGTACCCCAATAGTATGAATTGCCTCAGAGTATACTTAGTAATATCTTTTTAGAGTGCCTGCTGTTATGTGATGGTTAACAAGCTAATGCCATAGGTCATTATTAATGTAAGTTTGATCCTTATGGGTTGCTTTACCAAGTGAATAGTAAATACTGAAGTAAGTAAATGTTAATTTTATTTTCCAGCTAACGGTGTATAACTATAAAGGAGGTCCCTGTTATCGATGTTTGTTTCCAAAACCACCACCTCCTGAAACAGTGACTAACTGCTCAGATGGGGGGGTACTTGGTGTAGGTAAGTATCCACTTTGCCAGTTTATTCAATTTTCATTGATTTTCATGAAAGAAATGAGCTCAGATAAAAGTTTCAAGAATGCATTTGATTTAAAATCTTTTGAAAGAAAATAATGATGGCAAGAGATCTTCAGATAAATGCTTTAGGTAAAGAAATTAAGACAGTGGTTCACAAATGGTATGGTGCACCATATAGGGGCAGTGGAAGGATAGCAGGTGAGGCTGAATGATTGAAAGACAATCAAAGATTTAGAAACAGTTTCAAAAAATTCATATGCCAAAAATAAATATGATTTCAAAATTTTTAAAATTATTATGGATTATTTGTAATTGTATACATGATTACAAGCATAAATACTTATAATGATTGACCAATTTTATCATTGTGATATTTTTGCATTATATCAAGTATTAAAAATATGGTAACTAGGGTCTGCAAATTGGAGGAGAGAGTTACCAAGGATAATGTTCTGACTTCAAATCCGTGGTTATCTCCCTTTAACGCTCTCTCTGTTTTTTTCATTTTTAAATGTACTTTTTATCACATAAAATTTGGTGAGACACAAGCAAATTTTCATTCCGAAAATGCAGCCTGGAGAAAAAAAAGTTTAGGAACCACTGGTTTGGTCATCAAGAGGTGAAAGCTGTGTGACATTTATGGACAAAAGAGACATAAATCTGAATCTTAAGAAGAGATGATCTTTTTTTTTATTTCTAACCTATGTTGTCTATTCACTGCTATAAAATTGACAGCATGTGTATAATTGTTATAAAATGGAACTTTTAAGTTGAAAGTAAAGACTATTAAAAAAAAATGATTGACACTGCTTTGTCTGATAATAAAAATAATACTGTTGCTATTAATGACTATTAAATGTTATATTTGGTCTTAAAAGTCGTCAAGTTCTCGTAGGTTTATGCTTAAAACAGCTGGGCATTTACTAGGCTTTCCTGTGACAAAAGTTTTCTAGTGAAATGATATCTGGAGTCTGGGAGCCATTCTATTAATTTGGTGTCTTTGAAAACCTTTTTTTATTAGTAAGGTTGGCAATAGTCATCTTTGCAGAATATGAAAGCATTGACCTTAGCTTAAAGCTACCTGGTTGTGTTTTATACCACTCAAAACAAAAAGTCTAGCCCAAGAACTTAGAATAATTTTCTGCATTTATCCTGATAGCAACATCAACTTTATTTTCTACATACAAAATGTTAAAGCGCATGCAATAACCTACCCTCGTCAACCATCAAACAGGGAATGTAACACAGTTTTGGTGGCTAAGGCAATTCTGCCACCCATGGTGCCACCAGCAGCTTTTGCCAGCGGACAGGGTATTGTTTTTGTATACATGTCAGTCTCTTGCGATTTCTTTTTACAGCTGCAACAGAAATTTTCAATATTGTGTTAAAATACACAACATGCTCATAGCGACTGTTGTTAATGATGTAGAATGGAAGGTAAACAGATGAGTTTCACGTCAGAAGTAACATTGTTTTGCGAGCATGGTTTTATTTAACTTTATTTATTTTGGGTCTCGATGCCTGTTGAGCTGGAGTTTGGAGAGAATGTGAAGTACACATTAGGTTCTGGTCAGTGATGCCCACCTTCAAAAGGAAGGAAATGATTGACCGTCCAAGGAATCCACGGCACCCGACTTCAATAGTTAGCGCATGACATGTCAGATCACAGTGATTTGTAGTGTTTTTTTTCTTTCTTTTTTTTCTCACTTGTGCGCCTCCTCCCTGTTCTCCTCCCATGGAACTGTTAATTCTACACTCTTCATTGAATCAGACCATGCTACAATGTCAGGGCATGCATCTGTATGAATGATGTGTACCAGGAATTGCAGAGGTGTTCTAAGATCAACTAACACCCTCCAATCATGGGCTCCACTCAGTAGTGTCACATTGGGAGTTATTTGGGTCTTTGTAACGGATCTCAAGTTCTCTGGCCATTACAGGTTGTTTGTTGGCTGCTTCACACTGTATGCCGACTAAGTCCATGACCACTTCCAGCACTTTCTTATGATGCCATGTTTACATCTGCAGTGATTGTGGGCCTGCATGTTAAAAAATACTACAAACTTATTCAGTACTGACTGGATGGAATTATTTGGGTTGTGAGATTTACCTATAAATATTTATTGCAAAAATGTAAGTGAACAAGTTACCAGTTAAAAAAATAGCATGAAAATTTAAAGGAAAAAGTGAAAATTGTTCTTCCGTTGGACAAGTTAAAGTCAACAAGTTTAAACAAATGTTTAGAATCCCATAACTACCCAAGTCCAGAGGAAATTTTTGAATATAAACAGTGGGAAAAATTTTTCAAAGCTGGATTTTTCTGAAGCATATTTGCAAATACAGGTTGAAGAAGAATGTTCAGAGTTAATAACTATGAATATGCACAAGGGATTGTATAAGTTTAATTGACTTCCTTTTGGGATAAAAAGTGGCTCCAGCTATATTTCAACAAGCTATGAATACTATATTTGCAGATTGTGATTTCACAGTTGCTTATCTGGATGATATATTAATTAAAAGTGTATCTAAAGAACAATATGTTGGGCATGTAAAAAAAAAAGTTTTTTGAAAGATATGAGAATATGGATTAAAACTCAGTGAGGAAAAGTGCGAATTGTTTTTGCCTAAAATCAAAATACCTAAGACAAATCATTGACAAAAATGGTTATCAACTAGATCCCTCGAGGGCAAGTGCAATTAAGAATATGCCTCCTCCAACAAACGTTACTCAGTTACAAGCATGGAATACAAACCGTCCAAAAAATTAGGACATGCTAATGGCTTATCAAAATTATACCAAAAAGTACTGAACCATATGAGGACACTTATATTCAAGTATTAAAAGTGGAATAGAAATTAAAAATATGCAATGTAGTGCACACACTATCAGTGACCCTGGAAGAAATAAAAATAAAAGCAGAACAAGACATGTTTATTTCAAAAATAAAAAAACGGCTAAAAGAAGGATAGATGATTTTTACAACACAATCTAGACTTGAATGTTTCATCACTATGTGATGGACTGCTGATGCTTGCACGAAAAATAGTAACACCTGTCATATTACAAAAGTAGATATTAAATGAATTTCATAACAAATATCACCAGAAAAATGCCAGTATATACAAAACAATGTAAATTACAAGGAAGAAGGTACAATAAAGGGGGTTTCAGTGGGGTTGAACCCAATTAAAAGGGTATATTTACCTTGAAGGCGTAAAAAGTGAAGGTTTTTAATAGTTCTTGTGATTTGATGTGAGTTGTCAAAGTACGTGACAGAATCCGTTCATGCTTTCAGAGTTCAGAGTCTTCAACGTAGAGCATTGTTTTTAGAACACTACTTGTTCTCTGTTGTGGAAACGACTATTTTTGTTCAGTAGTCAGAGTGAAAATGATAGTTAATTTTGTCATGAAAACAACAATTTGTCAAGACATTGTTGACGAGTGGTTTTCTTTGAGTTTATACTGGTTTGCAGATGCTTTGGAAGGCGTTGCATTTTCATCTTCTGGCAGTCATGTCTACTACTGCTGGCATTGCGTTTCCAACTGCTGATGCTGGTGTATAGCAGGCATTTTTATACCCAAAAGATTGGCTCTGAGTTATCCAACAAATTTTGGCAGTTAACACAAAGTATTTCAGATTTCAACTAGCTCAAGTATCCATTGGTGAAAAAAATCATGTTTATCAAAACAATTTATTGTAGTAGATAAGCATTCTATTTTTCTTTACCTTTCCTTCACCTTCAGTTGACACCCCCACTTCCACTCTCTGGTCAAGGAGCTTTGCACGCAGGCTGGCAAGGTTCAGATTTAAATCATTTTATTTCCTTTAATCCTTTCCATCCAACTAATGAGAGTCAAAATTTACTCAAACAAAAAAAAAATTTTAATATACAGCATGCGATGAGTAAATTGTCGCTATTTTATATTTTTAAATTTCACACATACACTTTGTTTGTTTTTGATTTTGTTGACTGCACAGTATAGTAGGGTCAGTTGGGCACCATCCATGAGAAAAAGAGTACCATGGCACAATTCACTCCACCAGAAATTTGGAAACAGCATGCTGTACTGCTTGGCATTTATGCTGGAAGCTCCAATACAAACATTTCACAGTATGTTGATGTCGATCTAAGAACAGTGCAGAGGATTTGGAAAGAGTTAGAGGAGTCTAATGGTGATTATGAAGATACGGAAATTTGAAAAACTCACTCTGGTCGTTCTGATAAGAAAAAAAACTGAATTTGTTGGTGAGGGCCTCAGACTCAACACGGAGGCCTACATCAAGTAACTTGAGGAGGTAATGCTGCCCTGGATCAAGAGGGTGGCTGCTGGAAGACCCTATGTCTGGCAAATGACTCTGCATCATGCCACACAAGCAGGAGGACCTAGTCATGGCAACCGCATCACCCCTTACATCTGGCCACCTAACTCTCCAGAAGGCAACCCCCTTTATTATTATATGTGGGACACAGTTGAGCAAGATGAACCAAAGATGAACTGAAGGCAAGGATTATGGTAGCATTCACCAACTGCAGGAGATTCTGAAGTTGTCTGAAAGCTGTGGTTGAAGCCAATGGCGATTTTATTGAATAAATTTACTCTTTACTATTTCAAGATATTTTTGTGTAATTTTGCTACATATATATGTTAAAATGAGATGTCAGTGTTATTTTCATTTTTACATAATTTAGGTGACAATTTATCCATCGCACCCTATAAGTGTGAAAAAAGAAACTGTTTACATATTTAATGTGAAAGAAAATATATTATTTTTTTTTTTTTCCCCACTTCAGTTCCTGGTATCATTGGCTGTTTGCAGGCTTTGGAAGTGATTAAAATTGCTGCTGGAATTGGATGTATCCTTAAATTTGCAGTTTGAAATGAATGCATTTTCACTTGCTCTCAATTGGTATGAAGTTTGTATATTTTGAATGGATATTTTCCCCATGGATGGATATGTGGAATTTACAGTTTTTAACACAATTTTTATGTCCAATTCATCTCAATCCCTGGAGAATATTTGTGTGTGTTAATGGGGGACATGAAAGACCCAACCATAAAAGTCAGCAATAAAATTTCTAGGCAACAAATGACAAGAACAGAAAGTCTTTGAGACAACGATGGCTCATGGAAATAAACCCAAACAGACCTGATATTGACCAAATATTATTCTTAAATATTCCAAAAATGGAAGCATTCTTGACCCTCACATAATTTTCAGTTCAGTTATATATATATATAATCTTATATCCCACTTCATTCAACAAATGCATTCGCTTTACTCATACAGCAGTTAAAAATCAGGATTTTTCAACTTTGTTCCCAATTATGTCCTTAGCCATAAAGTGAATATGAATAATTTTTAATGCTTAATCGATTGCTTAAACCACATAACTATACTCAGGGGTGCCAAATATTTTATTTTCTATATGAATAAATGTAAAATTGGAGCTTAATTCTCCCATGAATTCTGGGATTAAAAGGGCTCCAACTCTATAATAATTTGGTATTTACTTGAGCAAAGTCGCATTGTGACACAAGGTCAGTTTAATGTGGTGAGCTCATGCATGTACACCTGGGCTAGGAACAAAAATTCCCCAAGCCCCTGCAACCATTGATTGGCCTTGGTGTGAGCACTGATCTCTCTCTCTCTCTCTCTAGTGCAATGACAGCTGTTCTCCAGGGCTGGGAACGTCTCAGTGTAATTTCCCTCAGTTGTGACTCTGTCCTTTGCACTCTTTCCAAAGACAGAGACACAACTGAGAGATGATAAATGTGTTACAAACTACTTTATAGTAATTTACACACTAAGATGACATACAACACAAGGTCAGTTTTTAAGGTGGGGACCCAAGCACATACACCCGGGTTAGGAACAAAAATTCCCCAAGCCCCCGCAACTGCCAGTTACACTGGTCTTGGTGCGAGCACCAATCCCTCTCTCTGGTGCAATGAGAGGGCAGCAGCCTTGGGCAGCTGTTCCCCAGGGCTGGGTACCTCTCAGTATAATTTTCCTCAGTTGCGACTCTGTTCTTTGACGGAGCCACCCCTGAGAACACTCTGCCTAAAGACAGAGACACAACTAAGAGATGATAAGTAGACGCGACAAACTTACACACGGTATTTGCTCTGTCCCCCCACTTGGATGAGATGTGACACAAGGTCTATTTTTAGGTAGGAACCCGAGCACATACGCCCAGGACAGAAACAAAAATTCCCCTCAGCCCCTAGCAACCGTCGGTTGCACTGGCCTCGGTGCAAGTACTGATCGCTGCCTCTGGTGCAATAGGAGGATATGTAAGATAGCGGATAACCCTGAAGAGGTTAAAATTGTAATCATCAGGGAAGCATTGCCAAGTGACATCAAGGCAGCATAACTGTAAATATTCAAAATGACATCCTTGATATTTGGTTTATCAACCTTCAGATTTCTCTGTCAATATCTAATAATCATAGAAATCAAAACGTTTAAAAATCCTTTATGTACACAATGTAAAATAAAAGTGGGTTTTTGGGGTTAAATTTCTTCTTTATTTAGTGAATTTAATAAAAGATTTTTTTTTTTTTTTTTCCAATAACGATCACTCGGTACATGGCCCAAGAGCCACTGAGGTAGAGGGTTACAGAATAAGAGGCACAGTTTATAAGGATATGTGAGGAAGATAATGGTTGACCCTAGACTTGAACAGGTTAGGATGAGTAATCAGGGAAGCATCCTCTTGGGAGTCGGTTCCACAAAGCATGAGTTCATGGAAAGAAACTGCTCAAGTGGAACTAGCATCTCACCCATGGAATAGGAAGGGAACGAGGGTGGGTTGCCACAATGCGCATGGCATGGTGGGTCTTAACTGTGATGGTTAGAACGGGTGGAACCAAGGAATGTAGTTTGTCTGAACACATTCCATGGAAATAGCGATAGAACACCGAGTGACTTGCAATATTTCATTTGTGACAAAGGGGTTGTAGGGTGGAAAATAATTTGTCACCCACAAGGATGCGATTATTTAACAGAAAAAGAATCACAGTCAGCGACAGAGAAATTTGTTAGGTTTGAAAGGCAATCATTCTTAGTGTTTTTTTTCATTTTTTTTACTTACAGCCACATCACCTTGAAACACTGGTTTATGTATGATCACTGAAGTCAGTACCTAGGTCGGTGACTGCTTGGGAATACCAGGTTCTGAAAGCTTGAATATGTAGGTGGTTTAATAGATAATGGCTCAGAATTGTTAATCAGAGAACAAAGTTCCAATTCCCATTGAGTTATATTTCATCATCATCATCATCCTCTTGACTGTTGTAATTGTAAGGGGGATCCAAATGCAGAAGCCATATTGAATCTCCTCCACAATGGTCTATCAACAACAGCCATCAGCAATTATGGTATAGTTATACTTGTCCATTGTTTAACATTGTCCAACCAGTTTTGCGTTGGCATCCTTTTCTACATCCCCATTCGACAGTGCCTTGTATGATGGTCTTGCACAAGCTCTCATGCTTTGTAACATGTTGAAACCACCCCATTTTTCGCCATTTGACGGTGGTGAGAAGAGGTTCCTGGTGGCCCACAAAACTTTCAGCCTTTTCCACACAAACTCATTGGTTTTATATTTCCAGTAGAAGATGCCAACGAGTTTAGTCATGTATTTGTCCTCAAACACTTGGATCTTTCTCTGTTTTTTGCCATATATATATATATATATATATATATATATATATATATATATATATATATATATTTGTTGCACTTAAGTAAATATGTTACATTTACTTATGTACAAAAGGTATTTGTAAGTAAGTAAATACAAAAATATATATTGTTATATTTACTTACTTGCAAATACCTTTTGGGAAAGGTATAAATCCGCCTCTTCTTCCCCTGGCTATGGGTTAATTAGTAAAACTTGTATTACTAAAACCATTATCTCCAAAAAATAAAATGAAATTTCTTACAAAATATTTAAATAACCTATAGAGGTTGATATGCTGCTAAACAAAAATAATCAGCCAAACAACCTTTTCATTTATTTTTTAAAATTAAATCTACTGATATGCTCAGTGGAGAAACACATCCTCTTTAATAAAAAAAAAATTTTTTTTCAAAGTGCTAAAAACCTATGCACTCACCTAATCACAAACTTATTGACGGTTTTAAACTGTAAAATTGTTCCATTCTTCAGTCTTATCGATTTATATCAAATTAGTAAATATTAAAACAACACACTGTGACTAAAATAAGCATAAGCAAATACATTTTATATGTGTAATTAAAATCTTTTGAAGATCTAAAATGTTCATTATTATTTCTTTTTGTTTCCTAATCATTTCACTAAGAACCATGCTAAATCAGATGGTCTAGAGATGATCATAGTAATTTATCCTTAACTAATAAAAGCTTCTTTCAATCAGCAGTTTTTAATATTTGATGGATTAGATGGTTCGTTCCGTAAAATAAAATTACGTCCCAGGCAAAACAATTGTGTTGCTTGTGGTGAAGAAGCTGAGCCTACACTTATTGACTATGAGCAATTCTGTGGTACCCGGGCAGATGACAAGGTAAATATCATTATCCCCTTTCTGCAACACATTTATTTATTTTTTTTTTAAGGACATTGGAAAGATTCCTTTTTAGTTATTTACTAGGATACTTTTTATTTACTTGAGTTAAAATAGTTGTTTAAATGGTATGTAATCTGACAAACAACTATTTAGAATAGAGTGATTTGACTTAAGGCATTTTTTTTTAAATTTTAGTCAATAATTTCACATTGATGTCACTAAAATTAAAGAGTGTGGAATTTTGTAGAAATTAAAATATGTGTATCACATTACATTAGGTTACCATAGAACCAACAAGAATCTCTCACAGGATCAGTAAAAACTCTTTCGTTATTTTTATTTAATGATGATGACAGCATTTTTTAACTTGCACCCCCTCACTGGTATATTCATAATGTTTCAGCATTTATACTCTCAGATCTTCCCCAGAAGTCGTATCTGGCTACCTTCAGAGAATATAAATCTTTATTTTATCCATAAAGATTTTATTGTTTTCATATAGTCATGTCTTTCTCAGGTAATTTCATTGTAATTTTCATCTTTCTGTATTTGTTGACATAAGGAATGAAATCATTTCCAGGGAATAGGATTCTGCAATGTTCCATCCATTGGTCTCATTCTGTGGATGTTGTGATTTCAATCCCTGTGCCAAGTAGTTTAAAAAAAAAAAAAAAAATGTATTTCACACAGACATTTTCATTTTTACCCATCATCTAATTTAATGAGTCTTATTTTTCATTTTCCATTTCAGGAACGTCATTTGAACATATTATCCAACAAACAAAGGTTATCAGTTGAGGTTAGAAAAAATTTTTTTTTCTCATACTTAATTTTTATCCAGCAAGAATTTTGGTTTATTTTCATAAAATGAGATTTTGCATGAATTGCCTTTCAATATAGCAGGAAAAATTTGAATTGAGTCAATTTCAACCAATATAGCCTGTGCCCATCTTCATGCATTTAATATGAGAGGCTCAAGCAAAACCTTTCAACCAACGCAAAAGCTATTTTGAATAACAACACATTTGCTTTTCAAAAATTTGTGTTAGTTTTTGTATTAAAAGAGTAAATAAGGCAATGGATTATAAGGTTGGTATGTACAAAGTATGTTATTGCTTTTCATGAATATAACTCCATATTTATATTATTCATAAAGAAGACAATCTTTTCATTTTATTCTTATTCTCCACCATCTTGCAATGACATGCCAATATAATCAAGTACAAGTCACACTTATTCCATATCTTTACATATAGTAATTCACATTGTATTACTTGTTAAATTTGATTTGAGAAAGTGTGCTTACAGAAAATATGTTTGAAGAGTAAATTTTGAATGGTATTTTCTGAGTGAAGATGATATTGTGAATTCACAGAATTTTTAATATACTCTGAATTAACTTTACCTAAGCAGATAAATTTTTTACTTACATTATTTTGTTACTTTGATTTTTAAGTTTTTTTTTTTTTTTAATCAATTCACCCCAAGCAAGGTGATAAAGCCATTAAGACACAAGGGGGCTACTGGAAGTGAAAGAAAAGAACGAAACTTTAGAAGGAACTGGAAACAAGGAATAAACTTCTACTCCTGTTCAAAAGACCAAGCCAGTTCAATTCAAGTATTTTAGCTTAAAAATTACTGTTTGTATTGTTGATAGATTTGATGATATGTTGTTAGTGTACAATCTAATTTAGGCAGCTGTGATTACAAGTTATTCTTGGTGCTGTCTGGAATAAGACAATCTTGAAACTATGTACTTTGAAAAAGACGTAACACCATAATGGTTAAGCAATGCATTAAAATTAAAGAAGCAAATTTTAAATGTAACCGAAGATAAAGATTGTTTAATAACAATTATCAATTTATTTGGATGTTTTCTTCATCATGTGGTTTGTTTAATAAGACACTTGAAAAGAAGGGGAAAAGATCACATACACACATTGAGATGTGGTGAAGCTTTTTATTAATTTGTCTTGTGTTATATGACAATGATAAAAATTAATAAAAAAAGCTTTTCTGGACATAAAGTATGGTAAAACTGTCAAAAACATTCTATATATCCAAGCACTTTCAGCTATTGCATTTTTTAGTATCTGTTTATATTTCTGAGATGAGGTATTATGTACATTATTTACAATATTTGGACTAATGTCCTCATCTTTGTCGCCATATTTATTACAACCTTTTGGCCATTGTACGCTCCAGCCTTCATCAGGTGGTTGTAATGTTTCACTGCCTTAGCCGGGTATTGAACTCACACCCTTTGGGTCCTGTCACTGGATCTAACTAATGCCTTTATCCACTGAGCCATGAGTCCTTGAGGAAATCTGTGTATGAATTTCTGGGCATTATAAACATTCAACACTATTTTTACCAGTGCTCATATTGCAATTTTTGCTGTTGTTATTACATGTTTTTACCAGAGCTCATATTGCAATTTTTATTGTTATTATCACTTTTCTCTGGCACTCCTTATTACTGATTCCTATATTGTATTCATTTCTATGCTTGGTCAGAGGGAAATTAACAGGAGATAACTAACATCCATTAAAACATGGCACATGGAACTAGAACAGTCTACCCCAGTGAGCGAAATAAAGGATTCAGTTCGACATTCCAACCACCTGAAGAAGGCCGGAGTGTACAATGGCCAAAACATTGTAATAAATATGGTGACAAAGATGAGGACAATAGTCTGAATAATGTAAATAATATTGCATTTTTTATTTTACGATTTAGAACAGATTTTTCGGCAAATGATGTTTCTGTTTGACAAAAAAAAAAATTGATGATTTAAATTCTCCAAGGAGTCCTGCTTTTAACTAATATGAAGAAACTTCTAAATTTAACATGTCTTGCTTTTATCTAAGCTTCTTCAGAAAATGAAATATGGAGCAGAAAAGAAAATTAATATGGCAAATACTCCTGTGGTTTGCTTACTCAATGAAAAATCATCAAGAAAAAAATATCAACGTTTTCTTTTCTCCTCCAATTTCATTTTCTGATGAAGCTTAAATAAAAGCAAAACATGTTAACTTTATAAACATTTCCTATTTGTTCCTTATCCTATCATTCTGTTGGATTCTAATCCATATTTGATCCCAATCTATTTATCTCGATATATTTAATGTGGAGAAATGTGTCACTTAACTGAGTGGTGTTATTTCAGTCACGCCATGCAAATTGTTGTAATGCCTCCTCTCTTCATGACTATTGGCTTCTCTATTAATGCTCTTTAAGACAAAAACCTGCCTGCCTAAAATGCCTTTCAACCAGTAAACTATGGAAAAAGAACCAACAATTTTGGCACCTAACACTCTTACAATTTAATACTATATATATATATATATACACACATTTCATTTAAGACAACTGAAAAGGTACCTATCATTTATATATATATATATATATATAATATATAAATAATATATAATATATATATAGAGAGAGAGAGAGATAGATAAAAATCCTCACCAGCAATTGGAGAAAAATTATTTTCTCACTTTATAATGGCCATAAAATCTCCAGAGAAGGAGATGGATTTGTAAACCAGAAGTTGTGGCCCCTAATTTTGGGGAAATTGATGCTGCTAGGCATAATAAGTCAGCATATTTATTGTAAAATTTAACAGAATACCCAAACATTCTAAAGTCATTTTTAAAGCTTTACTCTTGATGTTCTGAAAGGAACAAAATGTTTTTAAAATGCTTTTATTTACCTTAAACAACTTGGGGGGTAAAAATATAATGTATCTACACTGCATCTCAAATTATTAGTCACTTGAATTTTTTTTCCATAATTTTTAGAAAACTAATGAAGGGAGTCACTGAAATATTTGCATTATTAAACATACTATGTAAAAGTTATAAAAGACTTACAACCCACTCTTACAATTTAACATCTTTGAATTTTACTAGAATTTTCAAATTCCATATTATTGCCAGGTTAGTGAAAAAATGTGATTAAAAATTATAATGATGGAATGAGCCATTTGCAAAGATGTTTTGAGCATTATTGTGAAATGTATTCACCATGTTTTAAAACTAGTTTTTCAAGTCAGTATTCCATTGATTTTCTGGGCTATTGTCTGTTTACATATGAAAAACTATACACCATTTAAAATAGCATTCCAAATCTCATCTTGGCCAGAATTTTCCACAAGATTTCAATCAGGTTGTGGTCAAACAAGATAACCATCAAATAAATATCTTTGAAACCTATTTTATTCATTTTTTTTTTTTTTTCACTAAATGTAATTGAACATTGTTATAGATAAAAACTATCTTCTTTCTGTAAGCATTTGGCTTTTTCTTGAAATATAACTCTCACTGTTTTCAAAAAAATCAATCTTGGTCTAAGTTCTTAGCACCTGAAACATGTTATAGACTGACCACCTATAATCCCAAATATCCCACCACTTCTACCTTATTAACACCTCAAACTTACTAAAATGGTTTTCATTAATCACTATTCTGCTTTTACTCCATTCATCTGGTCCATTGGTCCAGTAGCAATGCATTTGTTGGTGAAAAAAAAAAAAAAAAATCAATATTTGAATATTTTGTTGCCAATTTTGATTGGGTTTATCTTATGGACACCTTTTAAAGGAAACTTAGTGATTAGTCTCACTTGTTTTACTAATTAATTTAAAACTAGACTGTGTTTGTATGTTTTTTTTTTTGTTTTTTTAAAACTGAATTGGTGAGATAAAATCCTCAACTTTATCAAACCTACATCGGATCTTCCATCTGGGAGCTTCAACCAATTTTTTCACAATTGGTACCTTCTGAGGTTTTGTGCAATTTACAGCATTGTTCCAGCTTTTAAAAGCTCTGAAGTTATTAAAGTTATTAAATGTTTCTTTATCCATCAAATCAGCTGTTATATTCCATGCTAATAGGAATATGGAATGGACAAACGCGGTGGATAAATAGTAACAGGTTTATTGTAGAAACCAGTACTACAAGCAAGGAAGTAATAGTTATGCACACGGTCGTCACAAGTCAGTACAGTTGTGTGTTTGCTGCTATCAGAAGGCCGCTAGTCTTAGCAGATCCCAGCTCAACTCTGCTGTCCGCTGTCCTAATGAATACTTATAGGTGGTTACCACCGACAGTGCTGCCACTCATGGGGGTGGCAGGATATTCCATTACATCATCAGCCTTATGGTCAATTTTAAAACTTCAAATTTACGGTATGGCTGTTAATTTGAAACTTCAAAATTCATATTTTATGCAAATAGTTACCACTTGATTTTATCTGCTAAATGAATCAACTTTCATCTTAATTTACTATCATTCAGCAAATAAACATTTAGACATTTGTATTTATTTTAAATGCCAATAAGACTTAAAGTGGCTAATGTGAGACATAGATCAAAGACCAGAAATTACAATCCTTTATATATTTGGTGTTTAAAAAACTTATGAAATATCCTGATTTGGTTCCATCACACTTTTTTTTAAGGACTACTTCCTTCCATTACATCTCGTTTCCTCTTAAAGAAACCCAGTGCTTATCTTTTTTTTCCCCCTCTTTCAGGAATACAAAAGAATGCTTGATCAGGACATTCCACACGTGCTTGTTGATGTGAGACAACCAGTGGAAGTGGACATCTGTTCATTACCCTCACCTGCTATCAGTATCCTTGCCCACAAAGATTGTATTTAAAGTTTTCTCTTTCTCAAATAGACGTTAATATATATTTAAGATAAAATAGAATAAGCCTAATAATTCTTTAAAAAAAAAAAAAATGGAAACATTTCTCAAATCAATTTTTAAAACAAATCATCAATTAGCTTATAATAGGATAAGGGGAGGTAACTGCCCTCTAATGGAACTATCTTAAGTCTTTTGTTAATGCAACAAAAAAAAAAAATTATAAGTCTCTATTTCCTATAAATCATTATAGCCTACTGGTCCCATTTTCGGGATGGTGAGCATTAACAGGCTAACCTTTGACTAGTTTTTCTTTCATATTGCTTATTTAGATTATTGCTTTCTTTTCTAAGTATGAATCAGAAATTAAAAAAAAAAAAAAACTGACCTTGAAAATATTTTACTAAATATAATCTGTCATAGAACCTTATCATATGGCGTCATCCTCCTCCTCAATTTCCAATCCATAAAAGAATCTACCAACATGAATATTATGATAAAAGCAAGTAAGATGAAAGAAAAACAAGTTAGAAATTTATAATGAAACATTGGATTAAAATGATTCTTTGCTTGTTGAATAATTGATGAATGCTTTTAGAAATAGTAAAAATATTTTGTTGTTTATTATCAAATAAATTATAGCCAAAGCAAAAGTCTAGTATAAGACTTCCTCACAGATGCTATTTATCCAAAATGAACATGTAGTAAAGAAACCAAAGTCACAAAAGCAAATAATGCTGTTGTTACATGTGTACACAATAATACTGCATTATTGTGTGTGTGTATGCACTTACACATTATATACAGGGTATATCAAAAATACTTTTACAAGATGTTGATGAAGCGTCTCTGCATTATTAATGTCTGCTGCATAAATCAGTTGTTCTAGGTGGCCCCACAGATAAAAATCTAAAGGATTGAGGTTGGGGAGCCTGCAGGCCATGGAACTGGTCCTCTCCTATTTATCCATTTTTCGTGGTAGATGTCAGCCAGTGCATCATGAACAATGTGCTGGAGCACCATTATGCTTGAACTACATACATCTTTGTATTTGCAGGGGTACATCCTCTAGTAGGTCTGTAAGTGTGTTTGTAGACAGCCCCTGTAAGAATATATGGCCCTACCAGACAGTCACTTACAATTCCAGCCCATATATTAATTGTAAACTGATACTGGTGTCTAGCCTGTATTGTACCATGAGGAATCCAATCTGCTCACAAATGTTGGTTATGGAAATTTGTTATTTCATCTCTTCCAAATATTGCATCATCCGTAAACAAGACTGAAGAGACAAACAATAGATTGGCAGTTTGTACAATAAACCATCCGCAAAAGTTCTCTTGTGGTGAATAATCAGATTGAAAGACCATGCACACGATGCAAATGATACGGATACAGGAGCTATTCTTGATGTATGCTCTATGTGGTACTATGAGATATACAGCATGCTAGGACTATTTGATATGTGCGAATACTTGAAGCGTCTCTGACAGCCTGTAGAATGTGTTCTTCATGGTCAGGTGTACAAGTAGATCTCAGTCTTCCTCAATCCATAGTTTGTGGTGCCACAGATTTTCTCTCAGCAATGCAAGAATAAACAGTATTGCCTTCAGTCTGGAAATACAATATGATGCAGCCTCGTGTCCATTACCATTCACATGGCTGTATGTAAAAATCATATCTGCCTGCTCATGATCTGAATATCCTGCCATTGTTAAATAGAACACTTCTCAGTTAACACATTACTTTGCTTATGTTTCCTATTCAAAATTGAACAGATATGACTTTTGAGAAAATCTAAACAAGTGAATGTGCTTTAAGGGCAAATAAAACCTGACTTGATTGTGAAGCTCTCCATAGTCAAAGCACACCAGATCAGGTGGCGGTTCCTGCTGCAAAGAGGTGTGCAGGTTTGGATCCTACTGGAAGTCATACTTTCTTTATTAAGTATACAAACCAGTAGATGAAATAAACACTGTTTTAGAAATAAAAAAAAAATGGAACATCTATTCAACTACAAGTATTGACTAAAACAATAACATTTGAGGTAATATAATTGAGTGATTAATAAATAAAATCAATTAATTCTTTAGAAAATATATATGTTCACAATTCCTAATGCCATGCCACACATTTTTTTCTTAAAATTGTTTTCCTTAGCAGAAGATATTCCTATATCTGATGTTAAATGTCCAGCTCACCTCAAGGCAAAGCTTGGTGAATGCCTAGATTCATCTGAAACAGGAGTAGTGGTTGTATGTCACCATGGAAATGACTCCCAAATTGCTGTCAATGAGATCTTAAAGACTTTTCAAGACAATGTAGCATATGTAAAGGATATCCAGGGAGGACTTCAGGCTTGGGCAAAAAGGATTGACACAAAATTCCCTAAATACTGATTTTTTTTTTTTCTTTAAAAAAAAAAAAAAAACCCCCCAAAAAAACTAAGATTGAAAATTGAAGTAAAGTTTATTTAATACAGTTCTTACCTTTTTGTTAACTAGATGAAGGTCACTTTTAGAACAAGGCTTTGAGCACAAATGTCACAAGTCTTTCTTAAGAGTTTGCAGATAGAATGTCATGAAGGAAATGTCATTTTTCCTCATAATAGTAATTAGCATAAAAATAGGAACAAAGTAGCAGTTTCTGACAAGTGTTGAGTGAACATTTCATAGCCTGGGAACTCATCTGACATAGAAAAGCACTTTAATCAGTCCAGTCACAGAAACTTCTCTCCTGCTGCTTCTTCATGCTATATTATTTGTTTATGTTTTAATAGCAATATGTCAAAGTTATTAAAAATCCAAGACTTACAGCCATATCACATTTAAACACCAGTTCTCGTACAATCACTGAAGTTAAGCAACATCAAGCCTGGTCAGTATCTTGATGGGTGACCGCTTGGGAATAAGTTAGGATGTGCATGTAGTGTAATGGATAACAGCTCAGAATTGTTAATTGGAGAGCCAAGTTCAAATTGGACTCACTTACCCTTAGAAAAGGTATGAATCTACCTCCCCCCCCATCTATGAATTAGTAAAACTTGTGTCATTTAATCATTATCTCCAAAACAATAAAAATTCTTACAATCTAAAAATATCTTCTGGCTTTAAATAACCTGCAAAGGGTTGATAAGCAATAAAAATGAATCAACCAATTGAATTCCAAGATTAAATATCTTCACAATTTTTCTTCCTGCTTTTTATTACACCTTTTGAAGTAGGCATGCAAGTTGTAATCCGCCTATCAAGCCAACTGAAAAGAAATGTTGCGATCCTTATATCTGGCACCAAAGATCAATTTTCATATTCTATGAGTTGACCAAGAACCCCTTCAAAAACAAAAAAAAAAAAGAAAATTGATATCTGGTCAGATTTTTTAAAGGAAGACAGGCCAAGAACCTTTCAGCACCCCTCTCTTGTAATGTAATAATTCATCCATAGTATCAACAAAGATATTTTACAAATACTAACACCTTGAACTTGACCAAATTGTATTTCTCTTTCATCATCTGTATTTAGACAAGCAGCTAAAGCAAAACAAGGTTAAATTAAATATATATATATATATATAAAAACACTGTTTTTGTCACAGCTGTAAACCAATGAACCTAATCTAAACAAGAATCACTACACTATTGAAAGATTTGTTTAGTAACCCTTACCCTATGGAAAGCATCACTTCTCAACAAAGCTGCAATAAGAGATCCAACTCAATTATCTTCTGTCTTTTTTGTTCTTTTATTGTTCTCTGTATTAAGGAGAGACAACAAGAATATTGTTCTCATATTTTCTTCAGTAACACCTTGCATCTTAGTGGCTTTATTTTCTTGCACAGATTAAAAAAGACTTGCAACTAAGTTGCTTACCAAGCAGTTTTTATAAAAGACCAGAGTAAGATTGACTGACTGTTTCATTTTGTGGGTTGAAGGGAAAAAAAACTTCTTTTATATGTCACGTACTTTCAAGATATGGGCAATAAAGGTTCTTTACAATTTCCTGTCTTTCATTGCTCTAACGCTTCCTCCTTTATTATTCTTCTATCCTTGGTTTGTGATCCATTCACTCAAACTTTAGTTACATGCTGCTTTCAATGTCCTTTGAGTATTAAATTCTCCACTCTGTCATAGAAATTTATAGTTCCTATTACCCTTAAAACTTTACCATACACTACAGTATTCACTATCATGTAAAGGTTAAACCAACAGTTCACCTTTTTGCCTAATGCAGCACTTTCCAAGATTGTCCAACTTAAATGGTGCATTCCAAATATGCACATATTACTGAAAAATCTTCATTCTTTTCCACATTAGTACATATACATGCATTTGCATTATTTTTAGTTTGTTTTTTTTTTTTTTTGACACTCATGATGGACTCCAAATTGTTTAACAGCCCCCCCCGCTCCACTTCTTGATAACCTCTAGGTTGGACATTATAATATTTCATTACTCTCTGCTTTTGATAGCTTCCTATATCTTAATAATTAGATTAGTTTATGGAAGGCATCTTTCACTAATCCTTGTTGATGGCAGAATAAGAACAATAACTGAAAATGATTACACAAGGTAGTTTAGAAAAGAAATAATCGTTACCTGTAAGAAGAAAGAATGAAAAAGAAACAACCCAACTTTGTTTTATTCACTCAACTACTTGCTCTTATTGATATTTGTTTAACCTACATTACAGGATACGGTTGGTATTTGGAATCTGCAACAGGTAGAAAGAAAAAGGCGAGCAAAAAAAAAAAAAAAACCAAAAAAAACTTGAGACAAGGGAGGTAACTCGAAACGTTTTGGCTCTAATCAATATTCAAGAAACACGTTGTGATTGGGCGTTTGTGCATTAATTTTGAGCAAATAGTTTGTTTTTTTATTATTATAAATTCTATGCTTATACTTTGATTTTGCAATAACTTAACTAGAGCTACTGTAAACTTGTTAGCTGATAATTTAAAAAAAAAAAAATCTTAGCAAATTTCCTATGGCAATTCAATTCCTTATCAATGTCTTGTAATTCTTATCAATTAATCTAGAAATGGAGCTTAAATTTATCAGAACTCAAGAACCAAACTAGTTTTGCATACTTGAAAAAAAAAAAAAAAAAAAGGTTTACATTTCGTTTCATTTTTTCAATGAATATTTTTCAGATTGCAAAAACATAATTAACAAGGATTCACCAGTGATGATTTTTTTTTTTTTTTTTAACTGAATAAAACATTAAAAAAAATATGTTGGATATTGTCTAATTTATTTGCATGTTTATAAGTTCTCAAATTCATTAATGAAACCTTTTAAAAAAAAAAAAAAGGGGGGGGGTCAATCTTGGACAGCCAAGAATTTTAACTTGCATTCTTAAAATATGTAGGTCTCTACTAGTTATTTTTCTCATTACTTAGCATTTGATCATTTATGCAATTGGTTAATTTCAAATTAACTCAGTCATCTTCATTAGCAAGGAATTTTCAAATATTGTGATGTGAATTCTAGACTTATGACAATGATAGATTTAAACTAAAATTCTGTAAACTTCACAGATAGAAGTGTGTGTGTGTGTGTGTGTGTGTGTGTGTATAAAAATCCCAACTGCTACATTGAAACTAGATTTGATTATGCATTTTGCCTGTCTAGGCTTCATCAGATCAAGAAACTGAAAGAAAGAATTATGTTTAAATAATAAATCGTTAGTACTCCCCCCACCACTAAGCTGTTCCATTTACTGTTCTGAAAATCTGCTCCAAATTGTAAAATAAAAAATGCAATAAAACTGACATTATTTAAATAGAAAAGTTTAATTGCTTTCATAAATAAGATATAATGGCACTCACAGCTGTTTGAGGTTTCCTATAGCCCCACTGAACTTAAATAAAGTCAATTCAGGTTTCCTTATGGTAAAAATTTTCTTTCCCAAGTGAAAATCATCACAAAAATGGCTAAAGTCATTTTGTCACAGCTTATTTTCTCTCAAAAAATGGATTTTCATACTTTTATAGGGGTAAAATATTGAAAAATGACTGTTTTATCCTCACCTAAACTAATATCAAGGAAACTTTTGATCTGAACCCCCATGAAACTAGGTATTTTCTGAAAGCAAAAGATATATTCTTTCATTTAAAAGTAAAATTAGCTGGTGTAAATGACTGTTTTTCAGTGGGTAAAATGTGAAAATTTTGCATTTTTTTCTTGTTCTAAACAAATTTTTCTCCCATTAATGGGAAATTAACCATATTTTTTTTTTTTTTTTTGAAAATCAGAAAGCCTAAATCATAATCAAACTATTTCAGGCATAAAATTGAGAGTTTTGAAGGAAATCAACATTCCTAGGGGTTCAAAATGGGACAAAATCCATTGTTAATTTTCAATTATATGACTGCCAAGGGTTAAAAAAAATTGACACCCAACCACGGGAATCTTTAGTAAAAGGCAAAAGATTTATCTGCAATTCCTAACCACCAGAAACCAAAAGTGTTTTTTTTTTTTTTTTTCCAAAAAATAGCAGCGATAAGGAAAATTAAACCTAATTGACTTTGACATCTAGGTCAAAGGTCAGCCAGAAACAGTAAGCCTTAGAACAAGTAATAAAACCCACCACTCCCAGATAAAAGCAAAGAGTGAAAAAAGATGGTTCAATATTACTAGGGCTTGATATAACCTATGTTTGAACAATGGCTTGATGAGTTTTGTTTTGTTTTTAACACCTTGTGACCCGGGTGATGACAACAACACTTAGCAGACGACATTGTGTGTGTTTTTTTGTTTTTTTTCGCCGCATATCTTTCATATTTCCCATCGCTAGTCCATTTAACCGTTCCTTTTATTCAATGATGTTCATGCCAAATGAAAGAGAAAGGAATGAATTTTGAATGATGTTATTTTGAAGCGAAAATAAATATTTTTCATAAAAAAAAAAGGGATTTTTCTCAGAAAATTGGGCATAATTTTCTTAATGTTAACCGAGTGACATTTTCCACAGCCAAATTGAAGATTAATTACCAGTGAATGATTCCATGTGCAAACAATAGCCATCTGGATCCTATAACATCGCCCTAAAAGGTCCAGAAGTTTACTAATTGATTGAAAACCTGTTGCGCATAATTGTATTTTTCACGGTCAATTTCCATTATTTCATCTTGATATTATCATTTTCGGACAGCCAAGTCATCAAGGATTCAGGAAGACAGTTTTGCATAGGTTTTCTTTACATTCTATGAGGTGTTTAAAATGTTACTGACGAATGAGATTTTTTGCCGAATATTTTGTTTACGCGCCATGTTGAATTTTCCCATATGACAAAAACAAGGGTTTAAACAGCCGTGCACTATTGTCTTAAGAAAAAAAAAAAAAAATAATTTTTACAATTTTCATATTTTTTTTAACTTTAAAAAAAAAAAAAAAAAAAAAAAATTTAACTTTTAAATCTTAAAATTCTGTATCAATTTCAGCCTTTTAGATTATATTAAGTGAAAGCTATTTATTAATCATAAATGGTAAAACTTAAGAAATTTTAAATCTTGGTGTTATGTATATTTTTTTGAAAGTACAAGCAACCATACACGACATTGAGAAAATAGTAAATTTAAAGTCAACATTTCTAAAATTAGATTACAGAGAATATTTTCAAAAATCTTAGATTACTGAGTACTTAAAAATTATATAAAGAAAGACACTCGTATAATTTTCATAAATTGTTTCACAAATAAAATCTGTAGAACAATCAATCTGTCATCACTTCATCAAAGATTTAAACATGGCTACTACTTAAAAAATTCATTTTGGCAGTATTTTAAACTTAAAGTAAATGATGTTTAAAATCAGATTAATTATACTTTAAGTCAGCTAATGTTCCTCAAATAACACTTCAGAAATGTATTTTTGGAAGATTTTTTTTAATAGAGAATTCAAAAAAAAAAAA